AATCTTTACTTAATTATATATTTCCTGTTTGAGATTACAGGAATCTTTACAATAAAAATCAATCTTTTGAATACAACTTTAAATGAACTGAAGTCTAGCCTGTTTTGGAGCCATTCTAACATGAAGTAAAGTGGGAGGCAGAGCCTTATCTCAGGTAAGGTGGGGCTCTTCACAAGTAACACAATATAACATTACACTTGAAACTTGAATCAAAGGCTAAAAGAGGTTTTAACTTTCTTTTTTTTTGTGTGGAAAAAGTGGCAGAATGCTTCCAGGCTTTACAATATCACCTTTAAACAGATTGGACTTTTCTTAATACCTTGCAAAAATTCATTTAAATTCCAATTTCAATGTGAAGAGTAACAAAATTGTATATATAAATTATTAACAACAGGTTACTTTATCCAGCTATAAAACATCAAATACATAAATAAATACCAACCAAATTTGTTATTTCCAGACTTTTGCTACACCTAATTTTGGTTGGGAGAACCCCAACTTGGCAAAGTGTTTTCTGAGCTTTACATTTAACTAAGCTTAACTTTTAAAGCACAATTTAGAATCCAGAGTCTACAGTAATGATAATCACAGGTCTGCCTGGGTTAACAGAAATCAAAGCATAGCCTTAAATGTCTTATAACTAAAGTATAATTTGGAATTCAGAGTGTAATATAACAATAATCACAGGACTGCATGGATTAACAAAATAAAATGGTAGCCTTAAATCTCTTATAACTTTTAGCAAACAGTGTTAGTTATCAGAAATTGACTTAACCAAAGCAAACAGATATAAGACAGGTCTTCAAATGACAGTGTGGCCTTTCTATGTCAAATACAATAAGAGAGCACTTATTGGTTATCTTACCAGTAAACTTATATAAACTTTCATTTTATAAACATTTACATATAAACACTTAGCCAAAGCTTAGACAGATATAGTTCTCAGATGCATACATATACCTAGTTGCATATATTTATGGTGTCAACTATATTGTTATAACCTAAATAACAGTTGTTTAACCAGCTACAAAGTAATCATTTAAGACTTTAAAACATGTACAAACTCTAATTCCTTTAAGACTTAGTTTCCCCTAGTAATAAAACCTAAAAACTACAAGAAAATTATCTCAATAGATAAGAGCAGATCAACATTTGGGTTTACAGAAATCAAAGCATGGCCTTAAATCTCTTATAACTAAAGTATAATCAATAGATAAGAGCAGATCAACATTTCAGACTTTGCTTCTTATCAGTCCATTAAAGTTCAAATAACCTTAACTTCTGTGCTAATTTTAGCTAATTTAATCACAAACACAAACCTTTTGAGATTTTCCTTCTTCAAACCTTCTGTGACTTAAACTTTCAAAACTTCTTTGCATCCTTAGATTTTCCCAATTCCATCTTGGACTTTAGCCCAAGAATATTACCAGACAAAATAATTTCTCATTCAGGAATATTTCTTTAACCTTCTAATTTCCATCCTAAAATATATTTCCATACCTATAATTTTTTTTATCTTTTCTAGTTTCAGACCCTTTTTAAAATTCACATTTGGAAACAGACCTTATGAATTTTATCTGTGCATTATTTACACAACAGATTTTATTCCAGGGAGGTTTGGACAAGCCAGCATGTACAAAAACTGTGCCTTAATCTTTTTCCCCCAGGTTACATTTAAGGGGTTGGAGCACAGGATAGTTTCTGAGCCTGACCTGTCTCCATTATCCTTATCACAGTGCCATCAACTTTAAATGAGTTTTCCCACTGTCACTTGCACCCAGAGACTCCTTCAGGGCCTTTTTCTTATCTAAGCTTAATGCTGTGCCCTGGAGGAGGCCCTTTCCACCCTTTTCTTTAATCTTCCTGGAACATCTCTTTGCAGAGGCTGCCTATTAAAAAACACAGGGGGGCCTCAATTTCTGTCTTTTTCTTTTCTGGGTGCAGTTATTAATTCTGCAGGCATTCAGTTTGATGGGATACTATTATAGCAAGAATTGCTTTGCCCCAGTGATGAATATCCCATGGCCAAATAGGGTCTCTTGTCGGATCTTAGAAGGGGAGACTATTTGTATCCCCATGTCATGATCTGACAGTGCTGGAACCTAGTACCATATCCTTTGTGGCCAGCAAACTCCACCTTGCATGGGCAAAAGCGGCTGGAAGGCAGGGCAGAGGCCAGGTTCTTTTTAATCACTTTTTTTTAACAGCCCAGACAGCTTTTCTGAGATCCCCCCACCCCACCCCTGTTTAGGGCTGGTGTCCTTGATCACAGTGAGATGATCTGCAGCTTCCTGGGGCCAGGCTGAGAAACAGTAAGAGAAGTGCCAGCACTGGGTTGAAAGATTTAAATCTCTTTCTTCTCATGTCCTGCTGTCCTTGAACACCAGAGGCAGTGCCTTTTGGCACCTTCAACTTAGTTCCTGACATTTAGACCACGTATCACGCAACTGCATCAATGCCTGTACAGACAGAATCCCTTTCACATACTTCATCCCTGACGGACCAACTTCAACCCCAAGATTGTATAATAATTTAGAAAAAACATTCAAAGGCCAGATTGTGCTATAGCAAATCATCTTTCTCTTAGACAGGCTTATCCCTATAGATGGCCCATGTAGCCAAAATCTCTCTGCTCAAGAGACTACCAGTAAGATCAATGTAGCATGACTCATGTCTTAAAGGGCCAGTATCAGACAAAAAAAAAAAAAAAACAACAAAAAACAATAACAACAAAAACAGACAATAGAGAATCACGAAACCAAGGCTGACAGACAGGAACCTTTAAAATAGATGGACTTGCATGTACAAATTTCTCTCACTTACTTTACCTTTGACAGTCCAACTCCAACTGCAAGATTGTACAATAATCTAGAAAGCTATTTAAAAGCCAGATCATTACATAAAAAACATTATCTTAGACTTATAGGTGGCCCTTTCTTCAATTCACTTTACCTCTGACAGATCAATTTCAATTGCAAGATTGTACAAAAAGAAACAGAGAGACCAGCAGAGAGAAGCCCCCAAACCATGGTTGACAGAAATATTTAAATCGACCAGCCAAGAACTTCCCCAGCCAAGAGACCATTCATAGAGTCAATTCGGTACCAGCCAGGTCTCAAAAGTAGATACCAACAAAACAGACAGCAGAGGAATTCCCAAGCCCAAGGCCAACAAACAGAGGAGAACTGGGAACAGATCAGAAGGAGTACATATCCCTCGGTTCTCAAGTCCCACTTACGGGTGACTCCTATACCACTGGCACCAGAAATGTCCCCAGAAAGAGGGACCAGATGTTCCCACAAGGAGAAACTGGGTGTATGGAGTCAAGGGTCTCCACGTGCACACCTGGGGAATTACCAAATGGACACGGGTGTTGCGACTTGCCTGAGTTCACTTTTCTTTTTCTCAAAGTAGAGCAACTGATGGGGCAACTTGTGCAGTTCAGGGAGAGAAGGAAGGAGTTCCTTGAAACAAAAGGAGCTTCTGCAGCTGCTGGGAGGGTCCCTCTGATTCAGTCTCCCAATTTCTCCAGCAGCTGGCGCTCAACAAACTCACCAGCACCATGAATCCTCAGCATGGAAGCAGGTTTCCCTGGAGATCCAGGCTGGCCCAAGAAAACTGGAGTGGATGGGTGCTGCTCTTGTGTTGCCAAATTTGTTGCCAAAAGCTGGGTACTTGTCCCAGATGCCTATCCATTAACAAGGACAAGGTTTTGAGTAAAGTGGGGGAAATCATTGCTCTGCTAGCAAAGGAGAAACACAGGGGACTCCTGTCCCATACGCTGTGATTCTGCCCATCCGCAGGAAGAGGGGGCTTTTATAGAGGGGATTCAGAGAAAATGAGATTGGAAAGGAGAGATCTGGAAGGAGAAGATCAGGGAAAAAAGACGATTGGGGAGGAAAAGTTGAGGGAAAAGAATATCAGAGGAGATCAGGGAAAGAAGGTCAGGGAGGAGATCAGGAAGGAGAGGGTTAGGAAAAAGAAGAAAGAACATGTAAGTTTCAAAGCCACAAAGGATATAGTCAAGGCATTAAGTGCACCCTGTTACCTGGTACACTCTAGAAGAACTTATGGGATATTCACAGATAAAACTCCAATGTTGCAAAATTATCTGAAGTCTCTAAGATAATCTAATTATGTAGATTTTACAATGATACTCAGGGGTGGATGATAATGCGACTGCAGAAGGGTACAGCTTTCCAGGAATTGCCTCATCCCCCCCTCCCCCAGTAATTGATCAGGGAAATTCAGTTCTTGGGCTTCTCAGGAGGTCCCCCTGTGAGATGGGCACATGTGCCCTAACACGGGGTCAGGCTGAAGAGAGTCTCTGAAAGCAACCCCAGCAGAAGGCGGGAGGATTACAATGGATCAGAAAGGCTTTCTTCATTACACAGTGCAGGGGCACATTTTCCAGGAAAGAAAATGGGATCTGGTTACAAGAGGGGTCTGATTTTTATAGGGTTTAGTGAGAGTTCATCATAGCAAAATGTTTAGTGTGACTTAATCACTAAAGACAATTACAGCAGAATGTGTCAGTTGGGCAGTCAGGAAAATTTGTGGAAGTCATGGGAAATTTGTGAAGTGCAGTGACCTTTGTTTTCCTCCTCTCCCCAGGACCCATTGTCCTCCTTTCTCCCTGGGGTTGTTGTTCCCCCCTTCCTCCCCAGAGGTGGTTGTTTTCCAAATCCTCAGTCTCCTTGTCCAGAGCTGCCTTTCTCAGAGAGTGCACCAGAGCACAGTTTGCTAACACGAGAAACAGGGCTTCGGTTTCTGCTTCTCTGAAGTCCAAGCAAAGAAAGTTACTTAAAGAACTTGAATTATGTGTCAAATATCTCAAGTTAAATAAAAATAATACTCAGGCTTAAAGCCAATTTAAAATGCACATGGTCATTATTTTGTCTCATTCTTTAAGAACAATGTAGTGATGGAAGAATAAGGTATTCTGGTGAACTAGGAGTTCTGTCACTGTGACTCACTGGATCCGGAAGCCCAAATCCAAGTCAGATAATACATCCTAGAAGAGAAGCTCTCCTTCCTATGAGCTTCCTCAAGGACCCCTTCATGTCCCTGTTCCTCAGGCTGTAGATAAAGGGGTTCAACATTTGAGAGACCACAGTGTACATCACTGAGGCCACTGCAGAATTTCTGGGGGAGTCAGTCACTGCAGAGCTGATGTACACCCCAAAACCTGTCCCATAGAACAAGAAGACAACCGACAGGTGAGACCCACAGGTGGAAAAGGCTTTATACTTTCCTCCTGATGATGGCATCCTCAAGACAGAGGACACAATGTGAGTGTAAGAGAAAATGATCCCAGAGATGGAAGTAACAGCAAGAAGACCAGTGACCAGATAGACTAGGAGGTTATTGACGAGGGTGTCAGAACAGGCCAGTTTGATGACCTGAGCAAGTTCACAGAAGAAGTGGGGGAATTTCAGGGCTGTGCAGAAGGACAGCCTCAGCACCATCAGAGTGTGGAGGAGGGCATTCACAGAGCTGATGAGCAGGGAGAGTAGAATCAGCAGGACACACAGGCAGGGGTTCATGATGACATTGTACCTCAGCGGGTAACAAATGGCCACATAGCGATCATAGGCCATCACTGTTAGAAGACAATTTTCTAAAACAATAAAAATCAAGACAAAGCAGACCTGGGAGAAGCAGCCTGTGTAGGAGATGTGCTGATTCTGTGCTTGGATGTTCACCAGCATCTTGGGGACGGTGGTGGTGCTTAAACAGATGTCATTAAAGGACAGGTTGGAGAGGAAGAAGTACATGGGGGTGTGGAGGTGGGAGTCACAGCTGATGGCCAGGATGATGAGCAGGTTTCCCAGGATGGTGACCAGGTACATGGACAGGAACAGGCTGAAGATGAGGGGCTGCAGGGCTGGGTCATCTGTCAGTCCCAGGAGAAGGAATTCTGAAACAGCTGTTTGGTTTCTAGTGTTCATGTTGTTGTTAAATCTGAAAGAAATATTGGGTAACAAGAAAATATATGGACAAAAGCAGAAACACACTTAAAAAAACACACCTGCAGACACAATGGTCTTTTTATTTCTAGAACTCAGAACTGTATGAAAATGAAATTCTGCTTTTATGCCACCCTATCTCTGGTACTTGGCTAGGGCAGCCCTACCAATTAACACAAATTAACTTCTCGACATCTGTACAATATTCAAGTGAATTTCAGAATATGTTAAAATATCATCATCGTTGTACAGAGTTCAAGATGAACTTCACGCAGAATGGGGACCTCTTGCAGACAGCTCACAAGAAAGGTGGGGGACCCTGTTCCTCCCTCCCATTTTGCTTGTTTCCCCAACCCCCCACTGTTTCCAAGGGTGGAATTCTAGTGACATACTTGCTTTCAATTCCAAAACATTTCCTAAGCCACTCTGCATTACCTGGTTGGCTTCAAGAGGAATGGTTTCAGCATCTCACCCAGATATTAACCTTAGAAGATATGTCCTCAGGAAATGCAGAGAAACTAAATGAGTCAACAGGCTCCTGTTCAAAGGAGTCGTCTCTGGGAAGAGGCCCAGTCACTGTGTCCTGATGAAGCAGGTCTGTTGAGAGAGGTGGTCACGGGCTGACTCCTATGCTATATATTTCCCTGGGGCTCTTGTTAGACCAGTAATTTTACAATCATTCAGATCCCAGGAGTGCATATGTTTAAAGACCAAGAGGATAGAAAAAAAATTTGGAATGGCTGATTTTCTGACCCCAGAGGTCACATGGACACAATTCAGTTCTCCACAATTTTTTTTTCCTGATTGTCTCCGTTTTATGGATCTAGCCTTCAAAACTCAATGTTTTCCAGTATAGTTACTAATACCAGGAACACTTATTCCTGTTGTAAATGTAACCATATGCTTTATATTTTTGGACATAAAGAATGTAATTATATTAGCTAAGATGTCATGAAAATACAAACATTCAGGAAGTGTCTTTACCAATGTCACACTGATGTTGAATGAACCTTGAGTTTTATTTTTTATGATTGCACAGATTATCATACTGTATCCCAGCATATTGACCCTAATGATTGTATTGATTCTACTCAATGTTGATTGACAAAAAATATGGATACAAAAATAGATTTATGATTATAATTCCATAAGTACTTAAGTCCATAAATATTTTTTTATTCTTGTTGCAATATTTTGGAAAATTTTTGAGTTGAAGTAGAAAATTTTAATTAAAGTGTAATTACAAAAATCATCAAAAAGTAGCACAGTGCTGCTGATGTGTCCGTATACTCAGAACATTTCTGCTCACTTTGAAACTTCTTATAATTAAGGACTTCAATATTTCCTGAGTTTATCATCACATTTTATAAACACAGCATCCAGTCGTGTTAAAAATGTTTAAAATAGGGCTGGGGATGTGGCTCAAGCAGTAGCGCGCTCGCCTGGCATACGTGCGGCCCAGATTCGATCCTTAGCACCACATACAAACAAAGATGTTGTGTCCGCCGAAAAACTAAAAAATAATAAATATAAAAATATTCTCTCTCTCTCTCTCTTTAAAAAAATGTTTAAAATAATGTTAAAAATCTTTCCCCCCAGGAAGAACTTACCTCAACTAAGCAAACAAACAAAAGCTTAGAGAGTCTACAGAATGGGAAAAGATATTTCCCACCTGATCCTCAGATGAGGCATTAACATCCAGAATAAATTTAAAAACTCAAAAATCATAAATGGAAAAAAATCAAATAACCCATTTAAAAATGGGAAAAAGAAGTAAATAAAAGAAGAAATACAGATGGACAAGAAGTATATGAAAAACTATTCAATATCTTTAGCAATTAGAGAAATACAAATCAAAACTACATTGAGATCCAGGCAGAATAGCAATTCTCAAGAATACAAATAATTATGAAGTATCAGTGAGGACTTGGGGGAACAGTACACTCATTATTGTTGGTGGGACTGCAAATTAATTCAATCACTCTTGAAAGCAGTATGGAGATTCCTCATAAAACTAGAAATGGAACCACCATAAGACCCAGCTATCCCACTCCTTAGTATATATCCAAAAGATCTAAAATCAGCATGCCATAGAGACGCAGCTGCATCAGTGTTCTTTCTGTACCCCCGATATGCACCTACACCCACACCTGCTGCTTTGATGAGACAGACTTCATAATTACTACCTGCAGATTCAGTCAAAACTTTAAGCTGATGGATTGTGCTTATTTTCTGTCAAGAGATAAGAAGAATGAGTGAAAAGATAGAATATGCAAGGTGTTGGGAAAAAAAAAAGAAAAACCACAGCAACATGTTAATGTATTGGAAACTGAATCTTATGATGATAATGACACAACCTCCCAACTTTAGTGTTCAGGCAGCCTGTGAGCCTTCAGGACTAGGAAAATCCCAGGACACTGGGAAATGCATGCCATCACAGGTCAATAGCTGTTAGATTTGAGGAAACTGAAATATTGGCTCAATACAAGAGGCTTGGCAGGGATCTCAGACTTGGCAAATGCCATGTTCTTGTTATGTAAGATTAACATGATAAATGGTTGAGAAAATATGCTTAAATTTGATAAGTTCCTTATATCTCAAACTTGTTTAAGAAAAGCTGTACAATTTGGCCTATAATTCCACTCCAAGATGCGACTCTTATTTGCACCAAGAAATTGAAAGAGATTATTCATTCAGATTTATTCACAATGACATAAAATAGCAATCCAAGTTTCTTTCCTATGAGGAAGACTACTTATTTATTGGTGATTATCAGATACTATGTAAAAACAGAGGTCACTAAAAATAAAGGAATAGATGCTATGCATCCAAACATGGAATATCAGAACTACACTGATGATAAGAACAACATAGACACAGAATGAGTTCATTACCATTAAGTTCCATCAAGGTAGGAAAGAAGCATATTGATGTAATGAATTATACAGACATGTACATGAAGTGATAGTAATGCACTAGATTATTTTGAAATTAAATATTTTGGACAAAATTTTATAGTACAATTGAAAGCTGGTCATATTTATTGAATTGCTAATCTTCATCTATTAGAACATAATACATATTATATAATATAGAATATTAGAATATAATACATATTACATATATATATATATATATATATATATATATATATATATATATATTTCTAGCCCATCCAAATGTTATCCAATAAATTTCTTCTAATCACCCCTTGGGGCATAAGTGCCACTCACTTTCTTATCATTGAAAGGCAAACGCACAGCTGAGGGTTACAGGGTGTGGAAGCATTATTTGGGGGATGACCATTCCAATAAAAACAGAGGCATCTTCCTTGTGACTCCAAGGGATTGTCTGTAACAATGGACCCAGAGAAGGGAACTCTCATTACTGCCTCTGGCATCATGTCCACATGTGATGCCTGCTTCTGCTGTAACCATCTGGGGACTCAGAGTACATCAAGTCCTTGGAAGAGGCCACCTCATGTAGGGCTCAGAGATACCTTAATCTCTGAATCTACACCGAATTCAATGTAATGAACCATAGTTCTCTTTATTGCCTCCAGATATTAGGGTTAGGGTTTTTTTTCCTTTCAAAACTAACAGTGGCATTGCTGATGATGTCCTAATATCACAACACATCCCAAACAATGACAATGATCTAATGATGTGCATTTTGTAAATAATGAAGCTGGATAGGGTGGATGCTAACATGACCCCATAAGGATACATTTTCCCAGGGAATGCCTCATTTATTCCTTAACCAAGTGTGGAAGGTCAGTGTATTTCCCTCCCCGGAGGTCAACCAGTGGGATGCAGCCCATGTGGCCCTAATAATAGGATCAGGATTAATCTAGTTTATAGGGATGACATTGGCCTTGATTCAACCTTACTTTGCCCTGTCCACCTTCTACAAATTTCCTTCTTCTGAAACAGATCCAAAAAAAATTTGTTAAAACAGAATAAAATCTGAGGAGATTAGTACTCTGTTTTTGGTTTACAAGACCAAAGTATTCTTTATCCTCCTAGGGCTCTTCATTGAAAGAGCTGGTTTTCAAGTAAGCTAATTGTAGCTATGATCAAGAAAATAGTGGAGAACAAGAGGATCAATGGTATTCTGCCAATAATAATTAAAGGGTGTTCAAGTGGTTCACCACCAATTCATGTGAATGTAAATAAGTCAGCTAGTCCTACTCAGGAAGGACCTTGTTTGAGGGGTTGAAAGATTATATTTCACTGGTTGGATAGTTGGAGCAGGGGAGACAGTGCTAGAATAAAAACTGAGACCACTAGTGCACGAACCTAATTTGTTAGGAATGAATTATAGAAGTAAGAATTAAAAATATCATTCTGTTTTGATCTGAGGTGGGATATTTAGAGGATTGGCAGGGATGTAGTTGCCTGAGTCTCCTAGTAAGTCATGGGAGAAGTGTACTAAAGTTATTAAGAATATAATAAAAAATAATAATAACCCTAATATATCTAATTGTGTAGTAAGAGTGAATGGTATTTTAGCTGAGTCTGTTGTTACATCTTGATGGAGTGTCAGACTCTGCTTTGTGTAGAAATAGCAGGTGAACTATTACAACAGCTGTAAGGATAAATGGGGAGATGAAATGAAGGGCAAAAATCAGAGTCACTTTTTCAACTGAAAATCCACCTCAAATTCATTCTACTAGATTAGTTCTGACACAAGGGATTGCTGAGAGGAGATTAGTGATTACCTTACCCCTCAGAAGGATATTTGTCCTTGTGGTAAGACACAGCCTATGAATGTTGTTGCTATGACTGCAAAGAGGGGTAGAATTCTAAAATTTCCTGTTTTAATAGAGGTACAGGATCCACTATAAGGACCTCTGCCTACATGAAAGAATAAGCAGAATAGAGAAGAATAGAGAGGCATCATTGACATGCATATAAGGCATTAGTCATGGGTGGCAGTGAACCTTTCCAACAGACATGTACAAAGGAAGAAAATGCTGTCATTGTGCGTGACATATAGTGTATAGTAGGAAAGGTCCAGTAAGATTTTAGATGATTAGGGATATGCCATAAAGGGATTCAAAGTTTCCCCATGCTGAGATTTTGGATAAGGTTAGAAGGTCAATGAGTGAGCATTTAATTATTTTAATTAAAGGGTTGGTTTTGCTGATTTGGGTCATTATGGTTTCTGTAGTACAATAACAATGATGATTTTCATGTTATTAGTTATGGTTAAATTCCATATACAAATAATATCATATGCTGCATTTTTATTAAGTATGATTGTTATAATTTTATTAAGTATAATTTAGACATGTAAATGCTAGGTGACACTGATTAACACCATTGACAACAATTATTAATCTGAGAGGCATGGAAGTGGAGGATGCAATCTTTTATTTTTAATGTCCTTCTGTGTCAGGGCACAGGGGAGCAAGATCTTATAGAATTTTCTTCAAAAGAGCCACATTTATGGTGGACTAGGTTTAATTGTTAGTGGAGGAATTGGATACGGAATCGTAAAATAGTTTGGTGGATTTTTCTTGGGGTTAATAGTTTAAAAAAATATATTTATTTAGGTGACTGCAATAATGTTTGGGTATAATACAGCTATTGCTACAGAAGAATATCCTGAGACTTGAGGTTCTATTATGATTTGAAGTGCTTCATTGCTAGGACTTTTAATGGTATTATTATTGGTTCTCTTATGGATGTATATGATGACCTGGGAGATGTTATTCAGTTTAAGAATTTAGAACATTGGGTTATGTTTGATAGAGATGAGCTTGGTTTAATTCATGAAGTCTACAGTTATGATGGATTTATATAGTTATGGAAGTTGATTGATGATTGTAGCCAATCAACCCTTGCTTGGTAGCATTTTTCTTATAATTGAAAACACTTGTGGGAATTAAAGAATAATTCCTAGGAGTAAAATGATGGATGGGAGGAATGCTCAAAAATATACTTTGATTGGTCTTTTATGTTTAGAGGTGATAGTTGAAACTGTAATTTGAGTGTGGGCAATAGATCTCAAGGGTGTTTTTCCGAATCAAATTAGATGTAATAGAGTTGATGCTGATTTTGGACTAAAAGTAAATTTAGGTGGGGTGATGGTCAGTGTATAGGAATTGAAAACTATCTTAAAATGGTTGTAATTAAGGGAATTTTGAATAATATTTGTTAATAGATTCACTTGTACTGTGATGGTAAAGCTACCATGGTAGTCAAAGGGGCTGAAATTTTTAGGGGCAGTGGTGTGGTTATGAATGGGGTATTTATAGGGGGAAATATTGATAGAAAAGAGAAATCCTGGAAAAATGCTGCCAGTTGTAAGGTGTTTAATTGAATTAAATAATAAAGGTTTGTTTTCATTAATGCAGGTTAGCATTGAGATTCCTGGATATCCTAGTTGAGCTAAGGAAATTAAGGTGTGTACTGTAGACAGCAGTGAGGTACTTGGCAATGCATGTGATGAATAGCCTCAGAGGTGGGTACACAACATGTGTGCTGACTCTACAATTAGGTCTTCAGAGTAGAAACCTGTTAGAAGGACATTCCTGAGAGGGCCAGGATTCTGCTGATAAGTGAGGATGAGTACATGGTAAGGCTAAAAATAGACCTCCTATTTTTGAATGTCCTCTTTGTCATTCAGGTTATGGATGATTATTCCAGAGCATATGAATAGTATAGCTTTAAAAAATGCATGGGTACAGACATATAGAAATGCTAGGTGACACTGATTAACACCAGTGACAACTATCATTAATCTGAGTGATATGGAAGTGGAGGATGCAAACTTTTATTTTTAATGTCCTTCAGTGTTAGGGCACAGGGTAGCAATAGCTCTTGATTGGATGAATTCTGGAAGCAGAGCAATGGAATGGAGCATAGAGATGAAAATCATAATCCTATGTCACAAAGCTGGGCAAATGCCAAGTCAGATCAGAGCCCAGGCTGACATGTATTTAGGCGTCCATCACAGCCATTCTCAAAGGTGTGGGGATGGAGGACCAGGCATTCTTACTCACCTGTACTCTGTCAGCTGATGTCCTGGTAGAGAACAAAGCTCACAGCCGGTGATAAAGTCACAGAGAAGAGGGTGACACAGTGAAGAGATGCCCCAGGGCTCCTTTCATTTCCTTGTTCCTCAAGCTATAGATGAAGGGGTTCAGCATTTGAGGGACCACCATGTACATCATTGAAGCCACTACATTCTTAATGGAAGAGTCACTTACTGCAGAACTCATGTACACACCAAAACCTGTCCCATAGAATAAGGACACAACCGAGAGGTGAGACCCACAGGTGGAAAAGGCTTTATACCTTCCACCCACTGATGGGATCCTCAAAATAGAGGAGACAATTCGAGCATAAGAGAAAATAATCCCAGAGAGAGGGACACCAGCAAATAGAATTGATCCCCAAAACACCAGCAAGTTGTTGATGAGGGTGTCAGAACAGGAGAGTGTGATGACTTGAGTCAGTTCACAGAAGAAGTGGGGGATCTCCAGGGCTGAGCAGAAGGACAGCCGCAGCACCATCAGAGTGTGCAGAAGGGCGTTCACAGTAGTGACCAGCAGGCAGAGTAGAACCAGCAGGACACAGAGGCGGAGATTCATGATGACCATATACCTCAGAGGGTGACAAATGGCCACATAGCGGTCATAGGCCATCACTGCAAGGAGGCAATTTTCTAAGCCACCGAAGATCAAGACAAAGCAGAGCTGGGAGAGGCAGCCTGTGTAACTGATGCTCTGAGTGTGTGCTTGGATGTTCACTAGCGTCTTGGGGATGGTGGTTGTGCTTACACAGATGTCAGTGAGGGACAGGTTGGAGAGGAAGAAGTACATGGGGGTGTGGAGGTGGGCATCAGAGCTGACAGCCAGGATGATGAGCAGGTTTCCCAGGATGGTGACCAGGTACATGGACAGGAACAGGCTGAAGATGAGGGGCTGCAGTGCTGGGTCCTCTGTCAGACCCAGGAGAAGGAATTCTGAAACAGCTGTGTGGTTTCTGGGTTCCATGTCACTGATGAATCATACCAAAAAGGTTGGGTGAAAAAATGAATCAGGTGGCTTCTAGGGAAGCTACAGCCTGCATCACCTGAGTGTGCACTTGTAACTCCTTGGTAACACTCTGGGCTTACCTTTTATAGGGTCTGAAAATGAGGACAGTCCTGTATGTCTAAAAACTTTCTAGGTGAATTTTAAAACCCTAAACTTTGAGAATCAGTACTTTAAAAAAAAAGAAAAGAAAGAAAAAACATTTCTCTTGTGAGCAACATGAATATGTAACATTGTCTAGAAACTCTCCCCACTGCTCTCCTCAGCTCCTCCAGTCCTTTCCCTGTACTGAGCACCAACACTTTTCCATGCTTTGTACCAGGTACTGAGACTGTAGCAAAAACTAAGATGCAGATTTCCTTTGAAAATATTTCCCTCCTTCAACAAAAACAAAGGTGAACATAAATGTATCAAGCCCATTTCCAGTACAAGGCTCTCTGCCTTTACCATGACTCAGGATCCCTGAAGGGCTTATCTAAGTACAAATGCATCAGTTCCTGCTCCCAGGCCCCTGCACCCCAGAGAACAAGCCACAGACACCAGGAAGCAAGTTAGTGTGGCAACCACTTGGTCAGAGCTCAGGTCCCCTGACCAATCTCTGCTAACATCTATGGACATACTGAATTGGCACCACCAAATGACCATGGCCATGCCATAGTTTCCTTTTATAATTTTGATACTTTGTTTCTGAATATAACCCCAAAGTTCCCCTGGATTTTTAGTTCTTCCCACTTCCATCAGTAAGTTATTTGTAGCAGGTGGAGTGATTTCAGAGGTGGACGTGAAAATATTCGATGAGGTTGCTCATAAATTGAAAGCTCATAAGGCTCCTGGAAACTCCAGCGATAGGCTTTAGTAACTCTTCTAAGAGAAGTTGGGTAACCATGACAGTGACGTTCTTTGTCTTATCTGAAGAGAATTTCTTCCCTCAGTGAGGTAACATGTCATTAAATTCAGTAAACCAGCAAACGACACAATAACTAAATGAGAGAGAAAATGAGGTGCAGGGTCTCCTGGAAATAGACAGAGCTTGTTGGACTTTGGTAGATACAATTACAACATAATAGACTTAGGTAAGCTGGTGTCCCAATGGGTGTGTCCCTACACATCAATGGTCCTCTATTATGGGGCAAAGAATAGCAGTGTGACCGTGATGATAATTTGAAATGGTAGATGCCACATTCTGAATTTAGTCCAGGCTGCTGCATTAGGTTTGTGAATGGGAATATTGTCACCTGGATTAGAAGACTGGGTGTCCTCGTTGCATTATGGGTGTGTCACTTAGCTACAATGTGGTAATTACTTCACAATGTGTGCCCCAAATGCGCCACTGCATACCTGAAATGGTTACAACTTTTCTTTGTGCAATTAAACCTGGAGGGGAGGCTTTTTAGGGGAAGTGGCAAATGATAAGGATTGAATTGAGCGAAAGCATCCAGGAAATGAAGAATCCTTGTCCTGGCATCGCCTATCGTGTGTGTGTGTGTGTGTGTGTGTGTGTGTATGTGTTTGTGTGTGTGTGTGTGTGTGTGTGTTGGGGGGGTGTGAGTGTGTCTTCTATGAGCAATAGCACACATTTTACCCTCTCAGAGGGAAGGAAGTAATTAGAGCAAACAGAGATGGTGTCTTTATCAGGCTGAAACCATATTTTCGGGAGGAATTTCTGTACCGGAACTACCAGTGGCAATATTATTAACATAGAAAATTAAAGGAGGAAAGAAATGTCAATTATAGCAACAATTAATTAGGACTGGACATAAGATGATAATGTACACAGCAATGAAAATGAATTAAATAGCAAATGAATTAAATAGCAAATGAATTAGCTGCATCACAAAAATGATTGATATCTCAATTAGAAAAATTTTATATGAACATGTCTATACCCTGAAAATTTTTCAGTATTTTTGAGCCTGCACAGGTTCACATTATTTTTTTATGGGACATTTATGTGTAAAAGAAAACAAAGGGTAAAATAGAGTTGGACATCCAATAGGCATCATGAAAAATTCATACACATTTCTATCCTGGCTTTAGATATTTTCCTTTCATTTTTTAAAATATATTCTAATTAGTAATACATGAGAGTAGAATGCATTTTGACACACCCTACAAAAATGGGGTTTAACTTATGCTTCTGATTGTACATGTTGTAGAATCACACCAATTCTCTGAACATATATGTACTAGGTACTTTTTATTAAATAAAATAAGAGGCAGAAATGAAGTCCCCACTTGACATCACACATTTGCACAAACTTGATTTTTTTACTACTTTAATAAAATGAACACGTTATCAAGATATATGTTATTGTCCCTTTATTTTTACTATATTTGGTAGTTATCTTCCAAATAATCACTGGGCAATGTTCCACATTTTAAATCTTTTTAAAATATTTTTTTAGTTGTTGATGGACACAATATCTTTATCTATTTATTTATTTTTATGTGGTGCTGAGGATGGAGCCCAGTATCTCACATGTGCATGGCAAGCGCTCTGCACTGAGCTATAGCCCCCGCCCCTAAATCTTTATACAAACAAGTCTAGTGTGTATGTTAGTTGTAATTGGCATTCTCTGGGCATCTATTTTTTAATTATTGATGACATATTTAGTGCTTCTTCATTTAACTTAAATACACACTATTCTGCTATATTGCCACAATTTATTTCTACATTCCTTGGCTGGTAGTTGTTAAGGGGACTGCCTCTTTTTATTGATGATATGAGAGTAAAATGAACTGCCTCAGAGGAAACGTCTCCTGCTGACACTGTGGTGGTTGGAAGTCTGGCCCCAGAACTGTGAGAAAATAAACTCCCACTGTCCTGTGTCCGTCTTGTGCTAATTTGTGTAGAAAGCTCAGGAGATGGACACACTGTCCAAGAGCCCTCCTCAGCACCCCACAGGAACTCAAGCCAACACCAGAACATTTAGAAACAGCCACTGTGTTTGAGGGAGGGCTGATTTCTGCTCAGAAGGAGAGGGGTCCTGTCCTTGAGGACAGTATGAGGCCAGCAGCGCTGGAGCTGGTGAGCACTGGTGTGCACGCACTCGAGGGCTTGTCCAGAGCATGACGGACAGCGGACAGGGGAGTCAAGGGGCAGTTTCTCCTGATCCAAGCTCATCCTCTCCTCACTGCTCCCCCAGGCTGAGCGCTCATGAAACACCTGCCCCCCCCCCCACCCCTAACTGAGCAGCCATCCGTTACCTGGCTGACCTCACCAGTGGTGCTCAGCCTCTCACCTGGAGGTAGAGAAGTCCTGGTCACCCAAAGGTGACATTCCTAGTGAGAAAGGCTCATCTTTGGGAGGAAGCCCAGGTGCTGCTGTCTGGCTGAGTCAGGGCTGTCAATGAGGTGGTCACAGGCTGACTCCTACAGTCTCTGTGTCCCTGGGGCTCAATATCCAAAGCTGCTCATTAGACAGCAGTCTTACTCTCATTCTGACCCCAGGAGAGAACATCCTTCAAGACAAACTCCATACCTCCTCACAGGTGGGGAGCTGAGCAAGGTGATTTTGTGACCCCGAGGCCCCGCACACAACACCCCGTTCTCGCCATTGTTTCTGCTCCCCGCTGTCAGATGGACTGGCACACATTTCTTTCTTTTTTATTTATTTATTTTTTAGTTTTCGGCAGACACAACATCTTTATTTGTATGTGGTGCTGAGGACCGAACCCAGTGCTGCGCACATGCCAGGCGAGCGTGCTACAGCTTGAGCCACATCCCCAGCCTCCGGGCACACATTTCTTTGGTACTTTTCCAATAAATTCCCACCCTCCATTCCATCTATACACAAAGGCATCTCTATATATGTCATGGTAACACAAAGTCTAATTCCAATATGAGTTTAAACATATGTCCTAAACATTAGTAAAATACTATAAATCTAGCAAGGATATTCTAGAAAAGAAAGCACACCTACTTTCTCCTTTTGAAAAATCATCACATATTTTCTAAATATTTGGAATTTTTACTCTGTATATTTTGCACAGTAGATTCTAGTTAATTCTCAGATGAATGTCGAGTGCAAATATTTCAGACAGGGCTGTTACTCCCTATTGAAATTGCACTTATAACTTTTCCTATGCCACAATGTAATAAATTGTTGTTAATTATATTTGCCTCGATATGCCATTAAACACTACAATTGATTCTTCATTTCAAATAAAAAGATTGCACCTGTTGACGTCCCCTTTCATCTTCCCTCTGCTTTGTTTAAATAATTATCCCTGCCCTGTCTGCTGCCTCCACTTGCTTTGCTCTGAGATCACACCACAAAAAAAAAAAAAAAAAAGATGCTGTCACTAGAAACTGTGCTCCAAGCTTGGCCTCTTTAGTTTCAAGCACAGAAATTATGGTTAGAGAATTGAAGTCATGTGTCAGCCTTGCAGAGATGGTCATGAAACATTGGAAAGTTTCAAAGAAAGTGAAATTTCAGCTGGTCATTACATTATCTCTTCCTTTTAACAGAATGTGGTGGCAGAGAGTATCAGGCAATTGACTCACCAGGAATCCCCTCACTGTGAATCACTGCAGAAAACCAAGTCCAAAGCAATCACAGAGGAAACATTGTTCTACACATGAGCTTCCTCAAGGCCTCCTTCATGTCCCTGTTCGTCACGTTGTAGATAAAGGGGTTCAGCATCTGTGGGACCACAAGATACATCACGAGGATCACTGCAGTCTCCCTGGTGGAGTCAGTCACTGCAGAGCTAATGTACATCCCAAAACTTGTCCCATAGAACAAGGGAACAACAGACAGGTGAGACCCACAGGTGGAAAAGGCTTTAGGCTTTTCACCCAATGGTGACCTTTTTTTGGACAGAAGACACAATGTGAACCTAAGAGAAAATTATTACAGTGAGAGAAAAACCAGCAAATAGGTCAGCCACCAAAGATATCAGCAGGTTATTGATGAGGATATCAGAACGGGCCAGCCCAATGACCTGAGCAAATTCCAGAGG